TTTTGGATACAACTATTCAACATTCTAACCAGGATCTTAAAGCAAAATCATTACATGTTATACCTAAGCGTTGTTATAATTTGTAAATCTTATATTGTTTGAAATATTGAATTTTTAATAATCTATTAAGAATAAATGAAAACATCATTGCCAATCTTAAGCAGTCAGACATTATAAAGCTGTCAATATGTGAAATTGGATTCAGTAATTTTGACCAATTTCTAGGATATTCAAAAGATTTTCAAATTATGATGAAGGCAGATTTCCCTTTCGTTGAAAGTGCATCAATTGTCAATTTAAAAAGCCTTAAAATTTTGCCTGCTGTTGCATAATATACATCTTGCGGTGACTGTAAATAACTTTTCTATCTCAATTTATTAAGAATTGGGGATTGCAAATATAATCCATATTCTGCAACAATTTTTTTATGCCTTGTTAGTGTTGATGCTTTTGAAATCTCTTTATATTGTTTATCTATGAAATGCTGATAATGAGAATTTATCAATAAATCAACGTTATCAGATGTCCAGCAATGTTTCATTAGATTACAAGTACGATAGCCCCTTGTGGCATTATGTTTTTTGACTCCAACTATGTAATTCCCCTGAGGCAGATCAGAAGTTATGTTTCCGAGGCTTGCGAATACAAGACTTACAGTGCCTTGTACATTCATTATTTTCCCTTTTTCAAAGTCTTTTATCTTAGCTACAAAAGGTCAGATAAATTCGTCGAAAAAACTACCAAAAGGTACAAACTCAAATACAAAATGATTCTTGAGTTTTTTTCTTTAATCAAACATCATGTTTTCGATTTGAACATAAATGCCTCTCAGTGAGTGATAGACATTACAAAATGTCCCAAAGTCATCATAGTAAAGATCTATATATAATTTATAAATTGGCAAGCTTGTAGTAGGTTCTTTTAAGGCAGCAAACTCTGAAGAATGTTTGTAAGAATAAGTGATATTCCTTAATTTCCATTTATTATTATGTTTATATAAAATCTCACAAATAATAATTAAAGAATTTTCCTTTATATTATTATTATACAAAATAGTAACCATAATACGCTTAACAATTGCCTGCAGTTCAGTAATTACAGTCGCATTATCCATTTCTCTATCTAGCATCCATATCTCGTCTCCAATTGACTTTTCTTTGCGATTTTTACTTTGCATGCTTCTTGCTAATTCTTTAAATGTTAAAATGCATTGAATGTTAATCTTAAGAATGCCTTTTTTTTGAACTATTGATAAAATGCAATCGATCCTCTTTGTTGTAGACTTCCAATAAATTATAAAATCACCAGAATGATATTTTATTAATAAAAAAAAGCCAAAAATATTATTTAATTGTTATGTTTTTATAAATATAAAAAAAACCCCGATGCCTAAATTACCATCGCCTATAATAACTGACTCTTGTCCAAATCATGGTGATTCCTTCAAAATGGTTCCATGCCATAGTTTATAATTGTTTGTAACTTCTTGGCCTGGACCAAAATACATTTTATTGAATGTTAAAGGATTATTAAGAGCATACCAAATAATATCACAAATAGACAAACAGTAGGCCTTCTTAATATTTCTTGATGTTGATAATATCTGTTTGCTAGAAATATGAATTTGATGCAATTTAATTGGAAGCAAAGGGAGTTTTTATCTATATTCTCTAAAACATCTAATGTTTTTAATAACATCTTCCTTTTTAAACTGAGGATGACTAATTATATTCGCTAAGTCATCATATGCCTGAGTTGCTAATATAAAAAAATTAGCAAATGAATATGTTATGCTTTTGAACCCAATAAAACATAAAAAAATTAGTAAATAAATATTTTGTTAGTAAATTATTTAAACCTACTTATGCTATGCTTTTGGACCCAACAAAACATCTTTGCTTCTGTAAGATTGCTGAAATATGGAGCAAATTCTTTATCAATATGTAGCATTTTTTCATTATTCAAAGGTTTATCAACAATTTCTCTATCAGAATTGTTTTCACTCAATATGTCGTTTTCATTTAACAGATTATTTTTATTCAATACATCATCTTCACTCAACACATAATTTTCACTCAATTTATCATCTTCGCTCAACACATAATCTTCGCTCATTATGTTGTCTTCGCTCAGTATGTCTTCTTTACTCAGAATGTCATTTTTGCCTTTACTTAGCATATCATTTTCGCTCAACATACCGTTTTTACTCAACATATCATCTTTGCTTAACATACCGTCTTCACTCAACATATCATTTTCATTTAACATATCGTCTTCGCTCAACATATCAACTTCATATAGCATCTCATTATTAGAATTATCTTCAACTAACATATCATTAGAATCTTCTTTTTTCAACATGCAATCAGAATCTTTGCTTAACATACAATCATTATGCACTAATTCATTACAATTATTATTAGAGGTGCTTATTCCAGTGTTTTTCATATTTAATATGTCATATTTTGTTGTAGTAAGAATATGAGATGAGTGTCTTATATAATTTTTACGAGGTCTAAAAGAAATATAATGATTACGGAACATTGTTAAAAACTAAGTTGTCTTTTTGTTTGACTACCTAAATACTTATTAACAATTCTACAAACTCAACTTTTTCATCTTAAACTATCAAAGACATGACTACTTAATTGATCACATTTCTAAGGCTATAAGAATAGTGTATTGAAAAAACATTTACAATAATAATCTTCTCATGACTTCTGTAATGCTAGTGATGTTTACACTTTTTTAGCAACCCTTCTAATAATAAATTTTAAATGATACTGATAGATTGTATGATTGATAAAAGTCATAATCATGTATAATAAAGTTTTTTAAAAAAATAGTATATCTATTTTATATTATCCTTACTTTTTATCATTTAAACATGAATACTAGAAATTCAAAGAGACTTGCAAACAATAAAATATCTGCTGCTACTAAACCTGCTAAACAGGGCCGTAAAAAAAAATTGAAATTTTAAATGATAATAGCTTACAAAATAAAACAAATACTGTCAGTAAGTGAGGCCGCAAAAAGAAGCAAGAAGCAGTTGCTTCTTCGTCATCACAAATGGTTAATGAACTTTTGAATAATGATGATAATATATAAGGTAAATAATATTTATATTTATAAATTAACTACCTTTATTCATCATAATCTTTATTTTTAGACAACAATAAAGCTGCGAATACTGGTAGATTACCTCAATCTTCAAATACTATACCTTCATGACAACTATTGCCAGAGCTAGGATTAGGTATCACATCACCAAATCTAGAATCAGAAAATATGTCACCAGCTCTAGAGTCAGAAATTTTGTCTCAAGTAACTGCACCTTCAAGACAATCATTACCAACCTTAAAGTTGAGAGTTGCACTTCCAAGATGATCACTATCAGTTTTAGGAACAAGATCTAATAATCTACCTTCAAGACAATCATCATCAGTTCTGGGGACAAGATCTAATAATCTGAATGATTTTGTTTCTTCTTATCAGCTTCTAACTAATCCAGTAATCATGCCTTTAAGAACATCATCAATTCTGGAATTGAATTTTTCAAACAGTTCATTAGGTCTCATCTCTAATAACATACCTATTCCATCAATATTTAGCAACATGACAATTTATCAAATTTGTCTATGGCTATGTGCAAACTCTAATATTCTGCAACTTGCAAATACTATTAACTTATCAATACAAACCCCAGCTACAAATGGTTCGCCATTTATGCACTCTATCTCTTCAACATTATCAACTATAGTACAAAATCAAAATGATAAAGTAAGCTTTTTTTTTTTATTTTCTTAATTATTTTTATAATTTTCTAAGAAATTTATGTAATAGGCAAAGGCTAGTCATGACTTTTTAGAGGAATTAAAGTGTCTCTTTCTTCATGTTCGAAATCCTCCCAAAAAAATACTTGAGGAATTAGTGAAACAAATTATTAAATGTGACCTCAATTCAACTGAAGGTGTTGAATGGCTTCACATTGCTAAAAGACATTTTGGCAACTTTTATAACAAGTTAATTAATGGTATTGAGGAGTTGGTTGAAAATTTTAAAGAGCAAAGAAATCAGTTAGTGCGCAATACTCTTATTTACATTTTTTAAATTTAATATATAGTGGTATATTTTTTATAATTATAGTCCTACAACAAGCCCTTTACAAAAAGAAGAAATTATCACATTCGTGGATGAAACTGCAACAATTTATGTGTTAAGTCAATGGTTAAATGCCACAAATACAGACGAACTATGTGCTCAAAACTCAATATCTCATTTGTGCAAGTTTATTCAAAGTGCTTTTGCTATCAATTATACATCAAGAGATATTGAAAGGACGAAAGCATTAGATAGGTTAACTAAAAACATCACTGTTCTATTATAAAATGGCATGAATTTCGCTAGCAATCTAAAATCCTAAAATATATCTTATTAAAAAAATTATTTATATTGAAATATTAGTCATTAATTGCTCAAATCGTATATATATGCATTTATTACATAACAATTTATTGACTAATCTGTAGCTAATTTAAATCTGCTTAAATATGGATCAAAAAAAAGTTTAAATTATCAACTAAAAACAGATAATAATAGCTATAGATATTGTTCTTATATATATCTATTTTAGAATGTCTAGAAATATGCGATTTCAGAGATTTTTCATTGTTTGAACAATGAAAAATCCCTGAAATCGCATATTTCTGAGCACTAATCTATTTAAGTGATAGTCTTTATTTAAAGGACTTACTACTTTGCATTGGTATGTATCATAAATTTCATAAGTTTTATTATTATAACTTCTCTCTAACCATTTGTATGTTTTTATGTAGCATTAGTTCAAGAATATTATTTTAATCAAAAGTTACAATTTATCCCAAACAATCATGTTCATCGCTTGTGCAACTGTAATTAACATTAAAGACTATAAATGTATTCACCAGGATATAATATTGATTTTAACTTTTATTGGTAAATTTAAAAAATTCATTATATGTATTGATGTGAAAGAATTGGAAAACAACCATGGTAGTTCTCAGTACATCTAGAATTAACCAGACAGGGTAACAGCACACTTTACGATATCACGTGAGCTAGATTACAAGAATGATAATTGTATCACTTATACCACTTAAGCAGTAGATCAAAATGTAAGTATTTTATTATAGTGTAATGAAAATAGGAAATTATTAGGAGACGAATTTATTGGAATCACAAACGATATATTTTTTCTAAGGTGAAACACATTTATTATATACTTTTATTTACTTAGAAAGTATTATACATCTTATCTGTGACATCTTACTTTATACTGATTATAAGGCTTATACTGATTATAAGGTTTATACTAATTATACTAATTATGCTCTTGATCTTACTGATTCCTCTTATTACACTGACATTCCGATAAGACATTTAGGACTTTTACGATGCTAGTTAGTTACTGTCCACATCAGACCTTCTTTCACATACCTCCAAGTTTACAGTCTTGTGGCCCACAATAGTAAAATTAAAAGAAAAAATTAAATACATAAATAATATGTAAACAATAACATTTTTGTTTATTTATTTCCACTACTCATTACTACTACGTACTCATATTTTTAGTTCCTCATAGTTATATAAAAGGAAGAATTTACACCCTTCTTTTTTATATATATATTGGTACTACATGTAGATAGCATATATGATTACAACTCTTTCAGCAAATCCATTGCACAAAAATTAACTAAAAATTCGTCCATCAAAAAATACTTATAACTATTTATTTTACTAAGACAAACTGCCTTGGGCTCTTAAATAAAGTTGTTCAGCTTATTATTTTATATATATTTTGAAAATATTAAGCTTCTATATTTTAAACTCTTCAAGAAATTGTACTGATGACCTTTGGCCTCCAGTTTATAACTTTTAGCTATTTCGCAGTTTCTAGTGCCTTAATCTACTCTACACTCTTAAATAAAGTTGTTGTACACATTTACCCGGTCAAAACAAGCTCTAAACAAAGATTTTTGACCTTATATTGACCGAATTATAACTAAATTTAATATTTACTCTCTTGTAAAACTTTTTTTCTATCTTTTGTTCCCACTCCATCATTTTTTTTCTTTACACGTTTTTCATGTAACTATATAATCATTTCCCAATCCATATTTTACTAATTTATACCAATATCTTGTAACCCATCTATTAATAGTAACCCATTCACACAATCAATTATTGTCATATTTAGCCTTTACTAATATTACACAGTAATTTGTATTGCAAATCCTATCTATGTTCAGTACCGAGTCATATTAGTGACCTTATCACCCTGGTTACACTCTAGTGTCATCCCTGTGACATTTTAAAACTACAACCCTTGCACCTACCTACAACTCTTATAAAATTCAATATTTATAACTATATACTATTTAGAAAATATTTCTAAGTCAATTTAGAGAAAAAATTCTAAGTCTTTAAGAAAATTTATACTAAACTTGCTATTATCCTACAATGCCTACTTTAATTCAACAAGAACCAGATACAGCAAACCTTGATTATTTCTACCAAAACTTCTCTAATAGTTTTGGAATTGCCCTCTACGAAGAAAAAACAATAACAAGGCTCGTCCAATTTCTTCCAAAGTTCAACCTACTAGCTGTTTAACAAAAAATCTTAGATCAAATAAGATTACTCACTTCTTTCAAGCTCCTACCTCTACTTCTGTAATTACTTGTCTCTGTGGCAAATACCACACCAAATTCATCTCAATCTCAAACACCAATTATACCCAATCTACTGAATTTATAACTGTCCACATCAATAGCAACTCAAAAAAAATTAACAGAACAACCCAACAACTCATGACTAATCTCTCTTCCTCAACTGACAGTATTCCAACATCTTCTACACCAGACGTGCATTATCATACTTGTCCAAAATGCTCTCTTCCAATTGGTTGTACCAAGAGGAACAAGCATCACTACCCTACTAAAAAATATGTTTCTAAAAACAACAAAGTCTACCATCTTACTTGTATGACTGCCTCATCTTAACATGAAGCTAGTTCATCCCAAACTAAGAAAAACCTTACTCAAACCTTTCAAAATATCTTATATGAATCCTCCCAAACTACCAATCCTCTTACTGTACCTTTATACCAAACTTCAACTTCTTCTGATCTTATTGATTCCTTTTTCTCTATAACTACTAACACTAACACTAACTCTAACCAACCTCCTATTACTAATAATCTTAACATTTTCAATCTGAATTCTAATAATTCTAACAATATTAACCAACTTGAAAATACTTCTAACAAACCTTTCTCTCAATCTTATTCTAGTATTCTTAAACCAAAATCCAATCCCACATATGACTGGGTTACAAATTTCCCTATTACTGAAAAAATGCAATCTAATAAAAAACTTCAAACTACATTCTCTCTTCAACTCTTTTCATTCCTTAAAAAATTCCTCTACAATTTTTATTCTGGCAAAGAAATTAAGCCAGCTACTGCCACTCAACCTGCACTTAAAGCTTCATTTTACTATATTATTCGTATCATGGCTAGGCAACAGCATGAATTCTTAACGGATCTTATCTATAATAGCAATCCTAATATCGACAAAAGTGCTACTATTTCTTTTGATCTTCTTGAATCTACTCTTAAAAACCTTATCCTTAAATTTACAACCATCCTATTCACTAAACTTACTACCTTGAAATCTTCGCCTCACCAGTTACTATTCCTCCATATACAGCTCACAACCACCTTCAATTCTGCCTCAATCTTGTACATCTTCACCTTTTCCTATCCAACAACTATCAATCTATTAATTACCAAAAATTTGCTGAAGACCTTCAGCTCAGACCTAAAAGATTTAAAATTAAATCTTTTATACAAACCACTGACTTCAAACAAAAATATTTTACTATTCAGTTGGATGCCAGATTCAATATTAAACTCTTCTTTAACATTCTCAAAACTCTTTTTCTTGAAAGATTTTGTATTCCTTCACTAAAAAATTCTCTTGATCATTTTAATTCCTGATTTGATACCTACTACCCTCCTTATAGCAAACAATTTTCTTCTAATATCGACAAAGAAAAAGTCCACACCTCTCTCAGAATTCAATTTCGACAACATTTTATTCTCCAACTCTCCAAACACCTTCATGAAACTTATAGTTTTAAAAAACCCAACTCACTTCAGATACAATGTGAAGAAGCATCTCATGTTGCTAACTTTTACTGTCTCACTTGCAATAACAAAGAATGTCAATATCTTGATGATAAAAAATTTCATGACAGTACCAAACTATTCAATAATATTCTAACTAAATCTCGCCAAACATTCCCTTCTCAGAATGATGAAACTTGGATTCATCCAACTCTCAACCCTACATTATTCTATAAAAACAAAGAACATGCTGCTTCACTTGACCAACCTATCCCTACTAAAGCTTTAGACAAACTAGCCGATCAAGCTGAAAACTTTGTTTGTGAACAAAACAAAGTAAAAACTAATCCTAAATGCCATAACTATTATTTTTACTGCTACCTCTCTCTATATTACCAAACAGCTACTGAAAATCACAACATTCAGTCTCTGTCTAAGGAGGAGGCTATTAACTTACTTACAAAAAATATTATTGATACTAAA